GGGAAACCTCTCTGTGGCCTTTCAGTTCTTGAATGGAGCTTATGAGCAAAAGGGAGACCAACTTTTTACATGTCTGATACAGATAGAACAACGGGGAATGATTTTAAACTATAAGAGGGAAGGTATAGGTTAGATGTTAGGCAGGCATTGTTTACTCAGAGGGTGGTGAGGCATCAGCAGAAGTCATCCTGAGAAACTGTGGTTGCCTGACCCCCAGAAGCATTCAAGGCCAGGTTGGATGTGGGCTGCTGGTGGGTGGCAGCCCTGCCCATAGCAGGTGATTGGAACTAGATAACCTTAATGTCCCTTTTAACCTAAGCCATTTTATGATTCATCGCAGTAGATTTAGATTGTTTGTCCTTCAAACTAAAAGTATCGTATTAAGAGCAAGTAGAAACAAGTAGAAAAAATCAGTAAGTTTTATTTAAATTCCTATAAAGTATCACCGTATTTCAATGACAAAAAACTCTTTTTTTTTTTCTTTTTATATTTCAAATAGCATAGCACCCTCTGGTGCATCTACTATAAGGAAAATCACTGAATAAATACTAGTCACTGTTACACAAAACACACGGTTAGTAAACAAAGAAAAAAAAAAAAAGGAGCTCCAAGCTAAAAATAAAAAATAAAAAAAAAATCACCTGACTAAGAAGTGCTAGAAAAGAAAGAATCTAATTTATTAAACCCTATTCTAATAGAATTACAAATGTTACAGAATAAAAAAAAGGCTGGCAGAATTACTTTTGCGGCAAAAGTATTAAATCCAAAGAAGTTTGAAACTAATTCTGTATTCTTAATATGTCATTTTTATTGAAAAAAAAACCAAAAAACAACAATAACAAAAAAAACCCAAACCCTAATAAAATCTTAAATGATACAAGGGTAAAAATAAGTTATTTAGTGAAACAAACTGTTAATTTTTTAAAGTATCACACTACTGTGCTATGTGTTGAATGCTTGAAACTCTAATACTATATGTTAACTATTAAAACACATCCAGTGACTGGGAAAATAATTTCCTAGCAAAGTAAATCTTGCTAATCACAAAAGCAGAAAACACCACCTGCTTTAGGCAGCTCTTTTGTGAACCTCTGGAAGTCTCAACACAATGCACAAAGAATGAAAGTAACACCTGTTTGAACTAGCCATCTGTCCCTAGCAAACTAGATTTAGCTAAAATCAGTGTATGTACATCGCTCCTTAAATTTCCAAAATATAAATATGCAGGTGCTAACCTGTAAGCACAGAGAAGTAAAAACACCTTTACCAGAAATACGAAAATAATAATGTCAAGCTTGTGGCTAACAGAAAAGCATTATCTTCAATATTAGTTTATATGGATCAAAAGCTTCATTAATCTCACCCTTAGAATAAAATTTTGTTTTCATTCATAATTAAAAAAAAAATACTTTGCTCTAACGTGTTTATATGATAACAAGTTGTTTTAAAAATAAAACTTCATCTACAAGAACATTACAGTACCATTTGAAGTTTATTTTTCATTCTGTCTGTATTCGTGATGCATTCACAACACATCACTTCAATTTTAAATAATTGTAAAAAGTTAAAAAATAAGCTTCTAAAAGTGAGAGTATTTCACGTAACAGTAACTACAGCTAGTAAGTTTTTGAAGACTGGACATAATTAGTATAGAATGTTCTAAGAAGGAAACTTTCCATAAGAGGTCAAAGTAAAGCACGAAGACCAGAACCAGAAATACTAACTAGAACACCAAAAGAACAGCAATACTATAATATCATTGCTTTGTAGATACTTAGTTATGTTTCAAGTAAAAAGAAATGAAAAAAAATGTCTTCCTTCTCAATGGAAAGTTTTATAAACTAAATTAAACAGTAACATTTATTTCCGTAGACAGTTTTGTGATTAACAAACTACCACACAACTACTGCACCAGGTGGAAACAAGAAATTGGATAGAGCTAACAAAGCCGAACCTAATTATGAAATAAAGCACCCTGACTTCAAATTTCGTAACAACATCGTACCTTAAATTCCCATTTCATTTATTTTCACTGCATCATTGAAGGGTTCCTCCACAGTACAGTGTAAGCTAGCTAAAAGCACAACAAAGCCTATGATCCACCAAGACTCATTAGAGTATGTTGAAACAATTTATAAGAATGTTACCCAGACAGTTACACAGTGTAAGTCATGAAAACAAATAAGTTAGAAAAAAAAAATCACAAGCCACTTTATTTTCAAATCACAAACACCAACTATGTTGACAGCTGAGGGCATTAGGGAATCAAATGCATAAAGCAGATATCATCTGTGACCACTAAAATATTTCAGAAAGAATAAAGACTCAACAGTTTTCCCTTTCGGGTCCCTAATATTAACTGAGTTGATTATGGTTGCTTTATTACTTTATTAGTTTTTCAAACAGCAGGCTTAACAAAATACAGCTAAGTAATATTAAAAGAAGTCTTTGGTTTTAGATGAAATTACATACTTTAACATGACTTTTGAAACACTTCTGTATAGAAAAAAAACAAAAACAAAAAAACCTTGTAAAACTTGTCTCTTAGTCTCTGCGCTTTCCTTTGAGACCACAGATCTGGATGCTTGTCCTTCAAGGACAGACCTCAACATCCAGGAAGAAAGGCATCCTGGACAGGGCTCTGTCCTGTTGAAAGAAGGCTACTCAGGAGAGGCATGGCGTAGAGCTGACATCTTTTCAACATCAGTAAATGCATTGAATGGTTTAGTGACTGATGAATCACATACATAATATAGTAACAATGAAATTAAGATTTAAATCTGTCATATAACTGATGTAGTAAAATAACTTTCTGACTCCACACGCATATAATTGATTTGATACTCACTCTGAATATTCTTAATATCTTTCAAAGTTATTTTGTAGCAGTACACACAAAATCAGTGCTTGATGGCTTCATCTTGAATAAAATGATGACAACATAGGCGTCTTTGGTAATTACCCAAAATAGAATTATTTTAATTCATATACTTGGTTTCTGAAACATGAAAAAAACAACAACAACAAAAAAAACAACGCGCAATCTTCCTTGCCTTAAGAAACATTAATATAAATGAAAGATGTATCATAGTTGATGGACACCTGGAAAAAATGACCCTTTCACATTCATTGGTAGGTCCAATATGAGATTACCAAAAAGGATATGTTGTTTTAAGAAAAAGCTTATAAACAGAGATCCGCTAAAGGTATACAAATAGAAAAGGTGAAAACACAATTAAGTTGTAGAATTTTGAATAATAAACTCATAAAAGAAAAATTTTGATTATCTTTTCCCTTAATGATTTAATTAAATAAAGGATATAAGTAAGTCATCACTACAAAAAAGAAAAAAAGTCTGCCACACCAAAAGGTGATTTGACATGTCAAGGAAGAGAGTGCAACTGGATACAGAGATGTTAAATGATAATTTTAATATCAAAATAGATACCAGAAGCATACTTTATCCCAAAGAACTTAAAACAAACAAACAAAAAAGTAAACAAAGTATAATTTTCTACCTCCAGCAATGCAAGTCTTTAGATTTTAATAAACAACTAAAAAAAAAAAAAGCCAACCAACCAACCAAAAAAAAAAAACCACTGGTATTCTGGATTAAAAAAAAAAAGAAGAAGAAGAAAAGAAAAAATATCATCATTAATAACATAATTTTTACTTCAACCTCTTGTGAGGTAAAAAGGTGCCTCTTCCTTTCTTTCCCAAGCATCCTCTTGAAATGCAGCTGCAGTAACAAAAAATCACAAATCACAAAGACATTTTTAATTTCTTCCCTCTGCTTCTTAGCACACAAACTCGCAGTGACAGTGAAATGTCTCCGATTTCTTTGATTGTGGAGAGTTTAACGAAACTCAAAAGGATCCTCTCCACATGTACATAATGTGCATTTACTATATCTACACGCACACTAAACCATACTATGCTGGCAACATAAAAATACAGTAATAATAGTAAAAATAATCCCTAGAAGGACTGCAAGAAAATAAAAAAGAAGCCTGCAACTATGTGTATGGGTAGGGGTACTGAATAAAAAGGAAAACACAGTACAAAGAAAATGCAGTTTGCCCGAAAATAAGAGAGGACATTAATTATGAATAAGTGAAAGAAAAATAAAAAAATAAAAAATAAAAAAAAAAAGGAAGAAAGAAAAAGAAAGGTTTAGCTGAAAAAGCACGTAGAGTGACCGATCGCATACACAAGAGTCTCGCTGGAGGCTATGGAAGTTGGCAAACACCTGCACCTCCGGCAGCCACACGGACCAGAACAAGGCCCCTCGCTCTGCGCTGTGCCACGGGATCCGTCTCCGCTGCTTCTTTCCTCCCACCTCCACCCGCAAGACGTTGCCTTCTTTTTTGTTGTTGTTGTTGTTTTTACATAATAACTATCGTTATTATTTAAAGAACGCAATCTTAGCTTGTGCCCGAAGTCTCGTTCCCCAAAATTCCCTCGTCCCCACCTCCCTCCCCCCCCCATCCGTTTGAACAGGAGACGACGGAAGACGCGTACCCACCGCATCCACGCGATTGTCCCGGAGGTCCCAGCAGCGCCTCCGTCCCCGCACGGCCGAGCCCCGCTCCCCGCTCAGCCGGCCCCGCCGCGCGGTTCCCCTCGGCCCCGCGGACACCCCCAGCCAGCCGCCCCCCGCCGCGCGCTCCCACTCCGAGGCGGCGGGGCCGGGCGAGAGGGACGGCAACGGAGAAGGCGGCGGGGCCGGGCGAGCGACCCGCGTTCCCCCGCCGCACCGCCGTCACACGGCGCGGCGCGACGGAGCGTCCCCGGCCCGGATGCCGCGAGGTGCGGGGAAGCAGAAGCCGGGGGAAGGAGCGCGGAGGGAGGGCCGGCGTGCGCCCGGCGAGAGCACTCACCTGGGCTGAGGCGGGCTGCGGTGCTGCTCCGGCTGTCGCTGCTGCTGCTGCTGGCGGCGGCTGTCGTTGTTGTTGTTGTTGTGGGTGACGATGAGGAAGGGGGTGAGGATGGGGGTGAGGAGCAGCAGGAGGAGGAGGAGGAGCAGGAGAGGAGCGGTTGTTGTTGATGGGTAACAGTCGCCAGGACTACGGTGACTATGGCGCTTGATTCACAAGGCAACGGTTGCTATAACTCACAAAAGGGAGAGCGAGCGAGGGAGGAGGAGGCGGCGGCCCAGTCGGAGAGGCCCGGAAGAGGCGGGGCCTGTCCTGACTGACGGCGCGGGGCCGAGCGCTACCTGCTCCCTCCGCCGGGCCGGGCGCCGTCCGCCGCGCCCCCGCTCATCCGTCGCGCCAGGACCGCCCGCGCCAGGCACGCGGTGCCGGCGGCGCAGCGCGCGGGCCGGTAAGGCTGCGGCGATACCGGACCCGAGCCCGGGGCGTGGCCGCGCGGGGGCCGCCTGACGCCACATCCGGCGGGCGGGGGTTGGAGCCCGGCCCCGGCGCGCTGCCCGCCGCGGGGGTCGTGCCGCGCCCGCTGTCGGTCGAGGGGCCGCCGCTGGCGGAGGAGCGGGCGGGAGGTTACGCCCGGCGGCGGCTGCTCGCCGCCCCCTGCGGCCGCCTATCGCGGCACCCCGCGCCTTCGTCGGCCAAAAAAAAAAAAAAAAAAAAACCACCGCCGACGGTGGGGGAGCTGCCCGGCTGCCGCCATCTTGAGGCGGGGGGGATGGCGCGGTCCCCGAGCCCGCCGGGTTGCGGCCATCCGGCGCGGCCCCAGCCGGGCGTCTCTGGCGAGGCGTCGGGCCGCGGTCGGGCCGATTCCTGGGGCGCCCTCGGTCTTCCTCTAGCCGCCTCATCTCGGTCACGGCCTTGAGCTGTGCGCAGCCGGTGAGGCTGCGACGGCCGTGAGCGCAGAACGAGCGGTTGAGAATCCACCCTGCGAACAGCCCGCGCCTCTGCTGCTTTGGGATGTGTATTTAGGGGACAGGCGAGATGGGGATTGAGGCTGTTTTGTGGCCGTATGCAGTTCCAGCACATCGAGTGGGTAGTGCAGTGTTCCTTTGTAGCCCTGGTGCATCCCAACCTGCAGCTCTTTGCTAGCCTGTGAAGTGTCTTTGCATAGCTTCTGCAGTCTATGGCTAACGGTGGCTTGCCGTGGAAAGCACATAATTGAGTTCTATGCACCCTTCCATGTCCCTTCATCTTACTATTATCCATACACAGCTTGACAATTTTTATTTCTCACACCAGTCCCTGTAAATACCTCAAATTTGCCTCACAAACCCTACTACTACTCCATCATAGCTGTCCCTAGAGAAATTGCCCTTAAGTATTAAACAGAAGAATTTTCAATGCATGAATAGGTGTACTGTGATTTTTAAAGCCCGATGTAACTATCATACTTCTAACAATTGCCTACAAAAAATTACTGGGAGATCTGAAAGTATATAAAAATCAAACCTGAATCAACACAGCATTACATCTACAACAGAACAAACTTGAATAATAGAATGGTGTAGTTTTACAGATGAAACTAGATCTTTCTACCTCTACTGGGAAACTAATCTGAAGTGCTATAGCAGTAACTACTCCATTTGGTTATTCAACCTTTGAATCTCTGGGTGATTGAAGAGTTTACTTTCTCTTACCTGCAACAGTAGCCTTGCCAATCAGAAACACTGAGATACAACCGTAAAAAGTCTAATAAAAATGGATAGTGTTGTCTTACATTGTTCATTTGAAGGCAAACTGTGTTTCATCATTTCATTTCACTCACATCTCTTACCCTATCTATCCAGCAAATAAAAGTTGTTTTATTTAGGTGGTAATGCACTGAAAGCTTGGAGGATTTGTGCTTTCATTGACTTCTCAGTCCCTTTGAACAATATGAAGGACTGAGGGGATAATGAGTGATTTCAGAAAAAAAAAAAAAATGTTGCCAGAAGGATGTGACTAATTCCGTAGTAATGCCTGACCAAATTTCATCCTATCCATGCTGGTAAAGAGAGTTTTTATTTCAAGGATTTTAATACTCGGTATTATACTGTCCTTTCTCTTATGTCAGGTTGTTGCTTGCAAGCATATTTGCTTTGCAAGATGAACAGGGTGACCTGTCATAAAGTTGAAGGATGAAATCTCTTGGCTGTTGGTTTGCGTTCTTAAATCATGGAACTTTATGTTTCTGTCCTTGTTGAAAAATGATATCAAACCTAGTCAGACCTTGGCATAAATGTAATACATATATATACATTTGTTGCCACCCTTGAGTTAATGTGTTTGCAAAATATTTAAATCTATATTAACATCTCAGTCTCTAAATACATAATCACTTGCTATGTCAGAAGGAGGGTCATGGCTTTTTTTGTTACTGGGGAATTGTTGAATCACTGCAGTGTTTTGACCCTTTCATCTATGAAATTTGCTTGCAGAGCTGTCTGCACTAGTCAATCAGGGCCTAACAGAAACTGAAGTTCTGCTTCAAAACATTGCAAATACATGTATATAGATTTTTCTCAAACTTCAGAATGTGAGTTTTTGTTCTTTATCAAAGTACATCTCATTTTAATATTTGAAGAAATGTCATTTTTTCTTAGCAACAGTTACATATTTCTAGATAATCAGTAGAAACATTAAATCACTTCATATGGCTACGGTAACTAGTGATATATTAATCAACCTTTCAAATTAAAATATGAAAGAAATCTTTTCATGAAAAGTAGTGCTAAAAACTTTGTTATTTGTGTTTAGATGCAAAATACACTGTATCTCTCAAAATAATTTTACGGCTTTGCACAAGGACAAGTAATAATCAAAATAATCAACATTTTTCAGCAGTGAATTAAAAGAAGAGTAGATAGGCATCTTCTGTACTTGCTTTTTTTTTGCTTTCAGACTGAACAATTCTACAAATAATTGTTTCTATACAAAGGATTTTATAGTGAAATTTCTTATATAGAGAAAGGTAACAGAGAAGATGCTACTCCTATCTTTTTTTTTTTTTCTTCTGATTATAGATTTTAATGACATCACTTTTTGATCTTCAGCAGAATTACATTCCTACCCCTCCCATTTTCTGAGAGAAGAATTCATTGAGAGCAGCCCTGAAGAGAAGCCCTGGACTTAGATGTCCTAGTGAATGAAAAGCTTAATGCAAGCCAACAGGTGTTCTCACAGCCCATACCAACATTATCCTGGGCCATCAACTCCTCATAGAACCTGTAGTGTTTTAAACTAAAAAAGTAGAGATTTAGATTAGCTAATAGGAGGAAAGTTTTCACTTGGGATGATGAGGAACTGGCACAGGCTGTGACTGTGGTTGCCTCATCCTTGGAGATGCTCAGGGCCAAGTTGGATGGGGCCATGGGAGCCTGATCTGTTGAGTGGCAACCCTGCCTGCAGCAAGGGTTTGGAACTAGATGGTCTTTAAGGTTCCTTCCAACCCAAGCCACTCTGATTTGATTCAGGGCTTTTCCAAAATAAATAATACTGCAGAGCTTGACCATTTCTTACAGGGTCATAATTAGTCCATCTGATATTTCATACAACAAAGTCCTTTTTTTTTTTTTTTTTTTTGTTAAATCCGCTTCATATTTTTTTACATTTCCAAATGGTTTTCAGATATATTCTGTCATTTGTGTCATATCTAAGAAGTACAACACATTCCTCTCAGCCATACCATACAGAACAATTATGTATCTATCTTATGAAATAGTATAAAGGCAATACTAAAGTAGGTAAGAGCATACCAACTGTTTCAGACCAAGGATGCATCTTCCCAGTTCATAGAAGTGCATGTCTAAAGAAGTGCAAGAACAAGCACATACATGTATTTCACTAGGTATCTTAGCCACTCTGTGTCCCAGGGTTTGTCTAAAACCTTCATAATCTGTCTTTATTGTCATCTTCAGAGAATTTCTTCCAAGAATTTGTCAAGTCTCCCATAAAACTCGTGCATTCATGCCATCTTTTATCAAGAAGAGCCATGCTGTAAGAATAAATGCTGTATAGTAAATGCTGTATGAAAAAAAAAGCAATTTTGCATTCTCTGAAGTCTAGTCGTCTTCTCTTTTTTTGTTCTAGTGAATACTCACCATGGGGAGAAGGTAAAGAAGATATGTTTAGATGTTATAAAGAATTAGGCAGTTCCGGTGCAGATGTATAGGCAGTGCTGTCTGGCTGCTTGTCATGTTTCTTCGATTACTCATGTAAGTATGCAGACAAGAACATAGTTCTGCTTAGGTAAATTAGTTATTATTACCTGATAAGTAAATACTGTTGAACACCTATATTATGCTTTCTTATGGCCGTAACAAGTCACTCACTGACCCTTGAGCATTTTGCTTCCCTCATGATGCCCTCTTGGCTTGGCACTCTGGATACATCCAATGCTATGTGTAATAGAAGTTCTCTGAATGCCTGTTAATATATTGGATTTTTATAGATTTAAGTGAGATTAGCCTGGTCCATAATCTCAGTTCCTTGTTCATGTGAACAGTATTTCCTTTTTAATGCTGATTTTTCTTCATCTATGGTGTCCTTGCCATTTGTTTGGGACTAATATCTGTGTCAGTCTGTACCAGGTAGCTGAGGAATGGAAACTTCTTTGTTGCTTGTGGATTGACTGCCAGTGCAGCCTGCATGTTTGACCATGAGGGTAAAAGCGGCTGGCCATACTGCCTCTCTGACCAGAAGAATCAGAATCAGTGGGTATAAACACCTTGTGGTTTCTCAGGTCCTCTGTAATTTGGATACTACTGTGATACTGCTCAGGAAGTCCACAGTTCTGACAAAGATGAGTTTGTGTCTTTTCCACTGTATCCTAGCTGTCCTCTCATCAGAAATTAATGACACCACTGTAGCTGACTGTCAGTTTGATATCTTGCTAATACTCTCTCCGCACAATTTTACAAGAAATGAGCTTTCCTGGGATCCCTGTTTTGTTTTGTTTTGTTTTTTTCCCCATAAGGCACCTTGTTGACAATTCTGAGACAGGAGACACTGACAGTACTATCATTTGCAGAGATGAGGAAGAAACAAGATGGCAAGAACTGGAGGCTTACAGTGAAAAGCAAACATAAAACTGGTGACAGCTTTATGTGCATGAGAAGCAGTCCAAGAATTGTCATACACTCTACATTTTTAAATCTTTCTGTGGGTACCTCTGTACTTGCTAAAGTAAAGGGAGGGTTTAACAGAGGTGCAGCCCTCTAGCTGTGTTTAGGCCCTTGCTTCTGTATTCACAACATAATATGCACAATCAAGAAATGCAACTTCCAGTTTTCTTGTATTGTAAAGTTGAATTGAAAAAGGGAGTGAAATTTTCATGCACCAAAACTGCGCTGTGAAGAGAATAAAAGCACGACAAGTGTGGATAATAAGACTTGCCTTAGCCATGCACTGCTTGTATGAGAGAAAATGCTATAGCAGTCATATTCTTAATTGGGAAACTTGACACATTAATCAGTTTTTAATGTCCGTTACAGTTTGGTTACATTAAGTTCCTTATAGACCAGTCCATCAAACACAGAAATATCAATATTGATTTTTGTAATGACATTAAGATAAATCCCCACTGCCGTTTTTTCCATCTCTTGAGTATTAACAATCCAGTAAGCAAGGCAGTCACCATTCTTCACTATCTGATATAACAAATGTGAAAACACTGAGTTAAACTACATCATATTGTAAAAAAAAATACAGATTATTTTTTTGGTACAATGTGAAATTTGAGATTACTGTAGCCACTGAGAATCCACTTTTCTTTGTGAACATGCCTAAAATATCCAGTCCTGATCCTGGGGTTAGTCATTTAAACAATTCCTATTAAAATAATTTTTCTCCATACTTCTAATGTCAGGATGAGATTGCAACGTGTGACCTTGTAGATGTGGCGGTGCCAGAGCCTCCTAAGTCTAAGCACTGTTTTGTATAGACATCATAGAAGGTGTCCAGCTGTCTGGCTTCACATCATGCTTTAAAATTTCTCCCTTATGAATGAAAAGGTCATGGCAGAAGAGTGTGAGGATTGGATGGAATTATCCCCCTGATCTGTTCTGATTAACTCAATCCACTCCAGACAGTGACAGAGGATAAAGTAATTAATTGTTAACCTGTAGCTGGTTAGAAATCATTACTTTATTCAATCTGGCATCCTGTGAGATCAGTGTATGTACTTATCTTTAGCAGACTGTGGCTGGGCTTCATAACTACTGTGATGACCAAGTGAGCATTGCTGTTTCTATAAAAACAGCGACAACAAAACCCGGTAGCTGAAACAGAAAATAAATGTTGTTTTGGGAATGTGACGCACAGCAGACTTTGTGAAAACTGTATTATCATCTACATCATGAACACATAATTTTTTTCATTTTTGGGGAATGTTTAATACAACTGTCCACTCTGAAGAACATACACATACACCTAGTAGATCTTCATTTTTATTCAGCATGCGGTTGTAAATCAAATCATCTGCTTGTTTACAAAGATTTATATTTTTTGTTGAATACAAATGGGAATACTTCATTGCAATACTGAACTAGAGTAGTATAGGGTCTTTTGGTAGGTCTAGCATTTGCAAACTGTAGCCTGTGTTTGTGTTTTAATGCTATATATTGAATTGAATATCTATTCAATTTGCCAAACACTTAATTTTATGGAAGGAAAAAAAAAAAAAAAAAGCAAACCAACAAAAAACTGTGCAGTGGAAGACGCAGTATATGATCAAGGGCATTGTGGCCTGCTTTTGGCATAAGCGTGTTCAGCTTTGCATGGCATTCTTCTCCCCCATTGCAATGAGTCTGGAGAAAACATATTCAACCTCTTATGTGTATTATCATTCCTTTCTTAATTTATTTGCTCAAATCTGTCTAACTCATACATACATATTGAAGCTCAGAAACTGTTGCAATTCTGTTTACTTTTACATTTTGGTAGTATCTAACATAAGTGTATCAAAAGACTCAGGAGTGCATGGCCTCTTCTGTGCAGGCAGCATCTTATTTACTGGACCCTTTCTGAAGGTCTGAGTTCATTTTCACTGTCCTGTGATACTTCTCATCAGCTAGAGGATCCATTGGTTTAATGAGTGCAAGTATGAAGTCTTTCTGTGCCAACAATATCTAATGAGCTTTCACAGCAAAAGATCCCTAGCAGCCTGGGAGCATCTGAGCCATCTCGGGTATGCAGAGAACCCTGACCAGGCTGCTAGCAGCAGGACCGTTGGTGGGACCAGGCAAGAGCACGGGGTGGCAACGTAGTGACCCTCGACACACTTGGGCACCGTGTCTGTTAGTTAAGGCAAAGGCCACAACTCAAGGAAAAAAGTGAATGAACAAGAAATGTGGCTTAGACAGCTATTGGAATGAAGAGTCAGTAGGATATTGTGGAATTGTTCTTCAGGGTCATCTTTTTTGTTTATTTTTGTTTTTTGCTTGTTTTCCTAAGCACTATCTGAGTTTGCTCAAAGTGTGTGATGCATGAAATGCAAGACTACCCCTATTGCAAATGCTCCCACATCAAAGTATCACTGTGGTTTTTTTTTTTACAAGTTTATATAATTTTACTATTTACAATCTGTTAAACACCTTTGCATATTTGTACTTTGTAATAAAAAATGTTTTCCTAGAATTTAATGCAACACTTGATGAAAAGTACAAAGAAGAGCTTTTTTTCAAAAATTGAGAGATGTGAAAAATTTAAATGTTATTAGTTTCTGGTGGTCTTTTTTTTTTTTTTTTTTCCTTTCTAATGAGACTTATCAAAAGATGCCTGTGGAATATAAAAATTAACTTTGAACATTTGAATCTTGAAGATTTTATGGAATGAGTAAAAAAAAGATAATTTATTTTAAAAAAGGTAATTTAAAGGCCTTTCAATTCATTATGCTTAGGAATTACTTGAAATAACTAAATTACTTAAATAAGGAAATAATGTGCTTAGAATTAATGTAAGCATTTGATTACTCATACAGGATTTTTTTTTTTAGATGAAGATATACAATATTAATTGTAGTCCTCTTATTAGAATGTAATTTTATTCTTTGCTTAGAAGAAATAACTGAAAAAAAAAAACCCTCTTCTGAATTAATGATTGATGAAAATGGCTGAAATAATGAAGATTATGAACTAGTGATTGATGCTCATGTTAACATGATTATGAATAAACTATGTAGTGTTGGAAAAAGTTTTTTTTGCCGTATTAACCACATGTTTCTGCTTTCCGAAGAATAACAGGATGCCTGCACTTATCAATTCATGATATCAAGCACAGACAAATGAAAAAATAAATTATAACCCTAAGTGTGGTAATTTAGCAGATAATTCCCTAAAACTTTTATATTACTAAATTCATTGAGCTGTTGTTTTCTAAACATAAACATAAGTTTCAGGTCCTGTTCCTTTTTGCTGAGCATTAACTGCTATGTGCCAGCTGAGGTATTTTCTTAAATCTGTTGTGAATCGTAGATTCCTATTGCACTTCAGAACTTGGAGGATAAATATTGTTTTTGACAACTGGAGAACGGAAGCATCAGGTATAAAGATTTTATCCAGAATCACACACTGAGCCATTAGAAGAACAAGAAATTTGCATCCTCATATTCTGAACTACAATAGGAATATTTGACTTCTGTAACTTGATAGGTATCACAACTTTATATTGCTTTAAAGCAGATATTTCATGTCAGAATTTTGCCCTGAGCTTTATACTGTCAGAGATCGGGCACTTTTACTATCTCTGTGTCCATTCAAAGAGTACCACGTGCAAGTTGATGTTAAATAGCTGCAGAGAGACAATAAGCAATTTTAGCATGCATTCTAAAAGCTCTATAAAATTGCCTGCATTGATTCACTATAGATGGAAGAGAAGGAATTTGACTGAAAACATAACTAAATCTGTGGTCCTGACTTGTATATTGGAGAGTGTCCATACAACTTATAGGAAGATTTAGTTGGTGTGGGATGGACTCGAAGTCCCATTTGAAGGCTGAAACACATACAACTCTCTGGAGGTAGCCTGTGCATGTGTTTTCTCCTGTGCAACTTTTTCTCCTGATAAATCCATAGTGCAGACCATCAGAGCCACAAGACTCTTGAATGATTCCCCCTGGTAATAGTCATTCTTTGAGTCTCTGAGAGCAGAACTGTGGGAAGGGGTAGAAGGAACATCATGAAGGTACATTTCTGCAAATAAGATTGAAGAGGACTATAAGAGGAAGGAAATAATATTTCCTAAATTAATACCTAAAAGAAAACTATTAAGTGATAAGTTGTCTTAGCAGCTGTACATCTGATGCTTATCAATATTAAACATATTAGCAGATAATATTGTAGTAGGTAGAAATTCAAAGAATAAACTATCATATCATAAAATATTTCTTACACTTAACACATCTGTACGAACTGTATCTTGTTACACCTTGGCTCTTTTGTTACATGATACCATTTTGCTATGTGCTACCTCTCCTTGCAGGATGCCTCTCTGCATCTTGCTATTGAGATGTACAGCAAAGGAAGGCTTTATGGTGGTGTGCAAAGATTAAGCATGGGATGTCCCAGTATCCTCAGCCACACATTTTATATGTAAAAACTGCAACACAATGAGTGAACTATAGAGACAGTTATGTGTTTCAAATGAAAGTTTAATCATGGCATTTCTGGAATTCTAAGCATAACTTCACAAATGTAATATTCTTTCAATCTGTTCTTTGGTAGAGAATTTCAAAAGAATAAGCATCAAAGCTAATTCTATTGTCATTTATATTCATAAAACATCAAACTCTCTTTGACGTTTAGGACACATACTCATGACTGTATGTACTTCTCTGTCTGCAAACCCTCAGAGCCAGGAGAGTGCTTTCAGACAGCTTTAGTATAAGGGTTTATATACTTTCTTAAGTTGAGAGAGTAGTTAATGGAAATAGTTAGGTATGGGATTCTTGAATGTAAGCACTGTAAAAAATATATGTTAATGTTGGTATGTGTTTTCTTAAAAATATAAAGTGTTGTGTTTACAGCAATACAAACTTTACAAGTTTTCATAAAATGTTTCCATTATAATTAGTTCACACTTTTTCCCTTTCTCTCTTCTGGAGAGGTCTGTGTGTCAGTTCCTTAGAGATCTCGGGATTATTCGTCTTCAGCTACTTTCAGCTGAAAATAATTTTTTCCACATTTTCTATTTTAATACGTGATGCAAAATCACTGTTATTCTATTGGATTCTTCACTCAATTTATATTGCGTTTTCCTTGTCAAGGTTCAAATAGATTTAATAAAAATATAAAAAGTAATATCACTGGTGTTGGCCCTCTTGATTAAGTCTCCAAGCTTAGTTTACTTAGCACCATAGTTAATTTCAAAGTATAATTTTTTTACTGCACACCAAATAAAATTTCACTTTATACTAATAATTAATGTACAACCCTACCTGAAAAGTGACTACATAATATGACACCTTTTTTATTAGACAAGGACTCTATGTGTACAGACAAGATAAAGATATGGGGTGAGCTCTGGAAATCTCATAAGTAGTATGGAGATGGGGAAAGAACTAAATTAGACATAAGGAAAAACTAGCCTTCACAGTTTTGTGTAATCAGTGTAGGAGTTCTGGTTCTTTTACAAAGAACTTTTAAGAAGAGCCTAGGAATTGCTTCTCCTGAAGATAAAAGAGTTAAAGGCAGAGCCTGAGGTTCTAGCATTTGCTTGCTTCTTTTTCTGTGTCAGGAGGAAGCAAGTGCTTTGTGGCCAGAACAAGTGCAGTTGCCCATTACAGAAGGTAGCCTACCAGGCACTGACTTTCTCCAGTGCTCCCTGGCCTTATTGGCACACATTTACACTTCCTTTGAAAACATTCTGACAAGGGCAACAAAGCCTGAGTGGTAGCAAGGCAGAGGCTGAGCAGCACTTAAGAGCGATAACGAATAAATACAACCAGAGGAGGAAAATATCTGGAAGCTAATCTAGGGCTGGTCAGTTACATGGTCAGTGTGGGAGCAGCTGTATACTAATTTAGGGAAGGTGCTGTTCTTTTAGCATCCTCCACTGCTCAACTAAATCTACCTTGCGCCTGAGATCCAAAATGTACAGAAGTTTTGAACACATAATATGTCAGCCTGAATATTCTAAGATATGTTTGTGTGAATACATCTGTACAGACAGTGTCTGCTACCCAGCAATCATATTCTAATTTCTAGTTGTTGGAACAATAAAGGGAGAACAGGGGAGCCAGCTCAGAAGTGTCACAGAGCCTCCTCATGGGACTTCTAATAAAGCTGTTCTGACATTTACGAGTGGATCTTCAAATATGAGAAAACTGGAGTTCTTATATCAGTCTGAAGCAAAATAAACATAAAACTGTCAAGCCTTCAGAATGAAACTTCCATAGCATTGTGCAGCTTTAACCAAGGAAAACAATCCCTAAGGACAAAGAGGGTCTGTCACCAGAAGCATACAAGAAAAATATTCAATATCTATTTTATATTGGACAAAATAATACTGCCACAGTATCCAGGATAAGCACCTGTCTGTCAAATGACAGAGTGGGGAACCCATTAAAGATGTAGATTGATAGTGACTGTCAGCCTTGGAAATCTGATATACATCTTCCATTCTTTTCCTCACCAAGATAAACGAGGGGAAACTGAGTCCCGATCCTTAATGTTTGGCAAGGCCAGTAGCCATGAGGCTCCAGCTACATTGCAGGTTTGTGTAGCACACCAGACTTCTCTTTACCCTTGTAGCAGCATTCATGGGAGCCGATGTAAAAAAAAAAAGAAAAATACCAGTTTAGTGAAGTGAAAATAACTAGTGGCAGGGGGAGCATGAGACTTCCAGAAACATGAGGTAGGAAACTTCATTAGTCCTGGTGCTGCTAGAAAATTTTTATCTTTTTTTACATTTGAAAAGCTAATGTAGGAAGAAACAGTTAGCAACATGAAGTGCATCATCATGTTTTTCTTGACATGTTAACCAGCCAGAATGTGTCTGCTCTAGGAGAATATTAATTTAACAGTAATATCTCCTCTTCCATATGAGTAGCAGAATGTCACAAACTGCAGAGAAAAAGGAGATGAAAGAAACAGCTGACTTCTTTTGAATGCTAGTTTTTATTATGATAGATTTCATAGAGTCAGAGGATCATTTAGGTTGGAAAATGCTTTCAAAACCAAGTCCAACTGCAGCACTGGTACTGATTTCAACCAGCCTAGCCAAGTGAAAATAACTAGTCTGCTTCCACACAAAAAGTCTGTGTTAGAAATCTTTAAAACATTAAGAAAGGCTATGCTTGTGCAATTGCTGTGTACTTTTGCAGATATTGTCTGTGAGTATGATCCCAAAAGTAATGTAACTTTTAAAGGCCAAATTTCAGCCTTAAATACATGTAAAGTATTTCCTATTGTTGTTCAAAGACAGTTGTATTAATTCCCAGCCATTTTAAGATAAGGCTCTGCTTTTGCATTCTCTTAAACGCCATTGGCCTTTTGCAACATTTTTGTGGTCTTGCCTCTTTTACTGTTCCAGTCTTTTTTGTGTTTCTGTATCCTATTTACACAACTTCTGCTTTTGAATTAGACTCCCAGCATACATTTTCCAGTGTCTCTTCTGTTCCTCACACTTTTTAACCCATAAGAGTATTTGACAGTGTCCATGTTTATACCTCCTGTTTTTCCCCATAAATAAAATGACAGCCAGTGCTGGTAATCTAGTGGGTGGCAATCCTAGCAGGGGGTTGGAACTGAGTGATTGTTAAGATCTCTTGCAACCCAAGCCATCCTATGAGACTATAATTAATTTTGCTGAGCTAATATTGTAACTGGAGTTGGGATAGCTTTCAGGGCAATTCTTATATTTAACTTTTTTCTTTTTTTTTTTCTTTTTCTTTTTTTTTTTCTCCAGTCTGTTAATTTTCAGCTGGACTAGATTAGTTTATATGGCAATCTGAATGCAAGCATGAGTTTTAGAGAAATATACAGAAAACTTGTCCATCCAGTTGACTTCAGCCCTACTGAGAGTAATGGGAGTGAGTGGACATTTGACAGAAAAACTAAAAAAAAAAAAGAAAAAAATAATGTTGCCTGTGGCATTCTAAAATGAGCACACCAGTGTTTCTCATTAGGATTTAAACAAACTAACTAGCTAACAAATGGAGGCTAAGAGTTAGGATGTCATGGAAAAAGTCTAGGTGCAAACTTTGTGCATTATAATAATAATAAAATGACTTTAAATTCAAACCAAGGTGGAAATAAGAAAACATTTAGCTATTTGTCTTTAGAGGATCATATACATTGCCTGAGGGTTGAGGCAAATGCTAGCATTTATGTAGGCTTTAGGAATGCAGTGAGACAGCTCAGAACAGAAAAAAAAATAAAGTTTTATATATATATACATATACTAAAAGACCACATAAATTTAAGTTGGAGGAAACCCTACTATGGCCTACTAGGTTTTAAGTGATTATCTCAGCACTTGATTTATGTCATCCATTATCAGCTGTGATGTTTAAAGGGAATGGGTCATTAGCTGAGCCAAACTTCTAGCCCAATAGACTACTTTGCCGCCACTGCCTATTCTTAACCAGCTCAAATGCCAGTAGCTCTCACAAAATGAATCAGATTTTTTTGAGTCACTGGAAAAAAAACCTTCTACCGTTATTGCTAGTGACCTCCTGTTCTTTCACAGGAGGCCTTCTATTATGCCATATTAAATGCCAAATTATGAGCAGAGATAGAGAGGTAGACAAAGCAAAATCAGGTAATATTGGGAATATTGTCATGTTAATATCCCTCAAATAAGGATATGTTTTGTTTTCCATAAATATTAGTCTTATTTATGAGTTGCTCTTTTTCTTTCTCATACAGTAAAGGATAGATTGATTAGAACAACTGAAACAGTGAAGAAATGAGAAGAGAGGTAAGAGAAGTCTTAGTATGGCCAACAAAAGCTCAGTGTGTCTGAATGAGGTAAACAATGGGGTTCCACTCGAGTCTTTCCATTTTTCACAGCATGGAAGAGTGGCAGAGGACTGGGAGGCCAGGAAGAAGGAGGCTCATGAGGCTGTAATTTGCAGCCTGTGTGATAAGTCTGCGCTCGTCCTGACTTCACAGAAGGAGCTGAGAACCTTCCAGAGATCAACTAAATGCAGTCTTTCAGCCTAGTCCTGCTGTTTCCCCTGCAACATGAATTTGATCTTTTTCCAATTACTCCTCTGTTACATTTTAATATTATGTTTATTGTACCAGGAAACTGTTTGGCCACAGATGTCAAATCAGTAATAAAACAATTAGAAGAGGTATGCTTTCATTTCCTTCACAGTATTAAAGTGAATGGTAGTCCTGTATTTGAGGGTAAAGGCCATGATTTGATATTAAAATGGGGAGAGACAAAGTAGTTAAATTAAGCACTAGCAGTCATCAGGGAGCCTGACCTCTGCAGTGTTAGATGGAAATCTGTGAGCTAGCTGGCATTGCAGTCAGTGGGCTCACGTCGCACAAGAGCATCACAATAAAACTATAAATCAATCCTACTAAGACTCAAAAATGTGTACTTTAAAGCACAAGTATAGTTCAACATAGTAGAATAATTATTGTGTTTCAAGTGAAAATAAAATCACAGCTGCAGAACTAAGCCTTCAAATCTTTATCTTTTTGATTGTACAAATGATTCTTTTTTTTTTAATGAAAATTGGAAAAATCCTTAGGTAAGACTGATCTAAAAAATTTTTGGCTTTTCTTCCACATTTAAATAAAGGAATTTATCCTTGGGGCTTTTCTCATGCTCATTTTTGGCCTGACAGCACTTTTGCCTTCCCTCAGCATTGTTAGTTTATTTGTAGCAAAGCAAGATCTACCCCTTCCGTGTAAAAACATAACATTAGATTGTATTTTTATTGCAGTCAGGAAATAAATCTAGTAAGATTAGTTTCGTTTCTAAATGTCTGTAATTCTAGAATTATGCTTAAAGAATTTATAATGATCTTCAACTCTAAATGTATAGTATCACACTTATCATAAGTGTTATAGCACACTGCTAACTGCTATTCAGCCTTACACAACCATTCACAAATGTATTCACAGGTAACAATATGGTAATAAATTAAGCTTCTGTATGAATGCAGTTAACCTTGCCAATTAAAATTGAAACTTAGGGAACACCCTTTGCTCATTCTGCTAATTCTAGCTGCTACGAAGTATCTGTTACCAGGAAATCAGGTTGACCTTGTGTGGAGCCAGATGTTGGACTCCGTAATTCTTGTAGGTTTCTTCTAACCTGGGAAGTTCTGTAATTCTATAGTTAGATTTATCCAAATTTTTCAGGTATGACTATGTATGATTTTGATCTGCTAGTATTTGTAAAACTCTGAAAAAAAGGAAAATGAATAAAACAGAGTTTTAAGAGAATACTGCCTAGTTTCAGATATTTATCATCATCATTCTGAGTAATTTAATTTACAAATTTTAAATTGACTTTTTTCAAGACAGCAGTCCTACGAAGGAAACCTGGCTTTTGAACAATAATGAATAAAGAGCTCCACACATTTCCCCATCTGCTTTTGCAATTGTTGAAATAAAAATAACAAAAGAGAAAGAAAATGTTATCCTGTGTAACACCGGCCCTTACAACAAAGGTTTTTGGAATTATTAAGTTTGATTTCCTTAACCAAAATCTTCCTCATTGCTGATCACATTCTGCTAGGTCTCTGCTTTTGAGATTGGTCCTAAATAATCGAGAGGGTACTTAACATATGCTTAAATAAGGCCTGTGCCTTTATATTATCAGTGTTACAGAATTGGCTGGACCATGTCCCCCAGAGTCACCTGCTGTCAGCTGGTGTCTTGTAGTGCCAGCCCTATCATCTTGCTGGCAGAAGAAGAAATGGAGAGACGTGCAGAAAATGTTCTCTGTTTTTATCCTGCCCATGTTTGGATTAATAGCTATAAGGATGTTACTGTAGGGTTCTTGATTCAAAGGGATACATTTAACAAATAGCTACACAACTTCTGAAGTAAGAGAGAAATCACATGCTGGCTGTGTAAACTAAATAACCAGCTTAACAAACTGAAATTGGTAAATCAGTGGCATCAAAAAGTGGTTTTGAGCCGTCTGACACTTTCAGTAATTGTTAGTTGTACTGAAGTTAGATGTGGAACATAAGTTTCGTCTCAAAAGTGAGCAACTCTTGGAGTGTACTCCAAAACAAAAATAAAGTTATGTCTTCTGGGCTGAAAGGAACCATATGTGGTACAGCTACTGATCTTTGTGATGTTTAGTGAAATCTGTTTTGGCTGGAAACTCTGCTGAAAGAAGCTGATGCCTGTGGTTCTGAAGGATTCATAAGAAGAGTCAAAACTTATTATGATTAAAAGAGATGGCAAAGATGATCAGAAAGAGTGTTCATTGGCTGTGACAGAGCTGTTGCTCTGGAGTGTCGTTTTTCCTTTTAAAGAGGATAGCTATAAGAAAAATATTAGCAAAGCTATGTAGTTTTCATTACTTGTGATCTCAGCTGGGCCAGGCCTTGGGTAAGTGATGTTATATTGCTTGTAGGTCTTACAGTCATGCATCGGCACCTCATAAACCCTGTCCTGCATGGAATGCTGCACATTAGCATTCAGCAAAACAAATAGAAGGTGTCTTACCATGTTTCCCACGCCTAAGCAGATGAATAACACTCTGAAGTTGGAATGGTCAGTCCTGCACCCTTGCAGTCTTTTGAGCGCTGATCTAACTGCTCAGAGCTGCTTTCAAGCATCATCTGTTGTCACATGATTCTGCATGCCAGATGCTCATAAAATGTCTTTCTTGGTTGTTTCAGAAACTGAAGAGCAAAAAAGGTATTAGAAGATTTCAAACCAAAGGAACTGAGCATGTAACAAGCACAGTGAAATAAAGAAGCATTCTATGCATATTTCTGCTTTTCATAGCCATAGATTGAACACTCCTCTGCATTAAGGTAAGAATTTTTCTCTTTCCATGGAACAATAAAGAAATCTTCAATGACTTTGACTGATTGGCTTTTAAAATTTGTAATGTGTTGTGTTTTCCAGCAGTGCTTTCCAATGGTTTCTGCACTTGCAATCATGTAATGAATTAGAAGACTTGGCTTTCATTGAAATGATATGTTTTTAAGTTTGATTATGTGAAAGGATGGAAGGTATAATTCCTACTTTACCTAAAACAAAGGCACATGCATACACAAAAAAAATCTCATGTATTTGGGCCCTTCAATGTCTGAAAAATTCAGTCGGCCATACAGCATATAATCTATGAAAGATGAATGTATACATGATAATCAGCCTCTCTGGGCTTTTTGATACATTGGAGAAAAATGTAGAAATTGGGATGCTGGGAAAGGCATCAGGATATGTATAATGTCAGAAGACAACTTATGTTCTGGTTGCCTACTGAACACTGAGCAGAGCTGATTTTACAGTGTCTGTCACTCATAGAGCAGAATCTGCTGAAATTGCTCACTTGAATATTAAAGATTTGGTCTGTGGCCTGCAATGTGGGAGAAAAAAAAGCAGAAATGCAGTCACTCAGCCAATGTCAAGTGTTAAGGTAGCAAGTTAGAGCATCTTCAGAGAAGTTTCTTTGAAATACTTATTCAGAACACTAGGAAAAAAGAACAACACAGTAATTATGACACAGCTCACAGGAAGTAAATTGCAGTTCAGGCATGTTTTGTAAATTCTTGTGATAATTGTTATAATTCAACTTATATGAGTGGTTCTCACGTTTTTTTATAGCATGTGCACTCTTTTCTTTAATCATACTCATGATTTTTTTTTTTTATAAAATAATGAAGACAATAGATTGATCACAACCTTCTTATATATCCTCTATAACTTCAAGTTGAGAGACAAAGCTTATGTACTCTTTAGCACATCACTTAAATAGATACTCTGCATATTTATTTCATCAGAACAATGATGAAAGAAAAAAAACTGTCAGCCTGACTGTCATCTGTAAAGATGTACTTCAGATATCTCAGCGCGGAAGATGATGGAAACAAACATATTTACATTAGCACCACCTTTAGTCCAAGCATGAATAATAGGATGCTTTACTGTTGCATACACAATTCTCTGGAGCTAAGTGTAAGACTTCAGAATGATACCATTCCTCACAACTGAAAGAAAAAAAAGAAGAAACAAACAGCTTGTACTGACAAACACTGTCAGTTCTGTGTTCTTTCTTCTTCTCCCTTGAGCACTTTGGTACCATGATATAAAAGCCACATTCTTGCATGCTCATATTTTGTTTAGGAACCATCTGCCAGGGACTGGTAAGAGCTGAGTGCCTACAAACACACCTTCTTTCTGCAGGGAAACTTCTCTCTCAGCTGTGAAAAACTCAGCTCCACCTACTGACGTTTCTGTCTGTATGCCCTTCAGAGATATGCTCTTCAGAGACCTTTGAAGGAATTACTCAAAAGTGGCATCTAGTTCCATTTCCCAGTGTAAGTGTGAATCCCAGAAACACTGAGAAGGTATTTCTAAGCTTAAAAACTATAGATCAAGTCATCCTGTGTTCAATTTTTGTAGGGCTTGGTTTGGGGAAGGAGAGGGAGAAATGTATATTTTCTTTTTTAGGATTTCTCAGTCATTCTGTAGATTCACAGTTCCTTAAAACAAGACTTTCATCAGAAGGCCTGCCATCAGAAAGTCTATAGTCAGAATGTCTACAAAAAACGTACCTTCAATTACACTTAGAGTGAGTTATTAATTTGACTGGCCTTTCTCATTTCTAAAGTGTTGTGTCTGTTCACTTCTTATCATCATATTTTCTGTGTTGCAGATACTCAAATATTTTGATATGTCATGTAGAGTGTATCATGTTTTCCAAACCATTTTTCCAGAAATGTCACAGAATTTGTAATGTTAGTTCACAACACAACATTAAAGTACTTTTTTCTGATTCAATACCTAATGCATGCTCAACCTCCTTCAAGTGGTGCACTTGACTTGGATAGAATCAGGGTTTGTGAATGATTCTCAAATTCCCAGCAAAACTTGGTTTGCAGCCTCACAAGAATTGCTTCTGGTTGCTGTAAAGCAAGTCAATTTTTGAGCAGTTTTCTACAGGCAAGGCTGATGTTCAGAATAATTTCAGCATGGATCAAGTCAAGAAACAAGGGATTAAGTGCAAGTGGAAGATAGAACTAGATGGTAAGCAGATTTTGCAAAAAGATAAATTCATAGAGCTATTTTTTAAAAAAGAAATGTTACTCATCCATATGTAGGATTCATCTGTGTTAAGTCCACTACTACCACTTATCAACAAAATGGGATTTTTGCATATCTTAATGCTTTTCACGAATGTGTACAAAATTCTGTATCTGGCTTCTGATCAAACCAGAAAACTCACCTATGGTTCTCTGAAGATTTCTTCTTACCTGAATAAAGCATATAGACCTTAACAAATGCTTTCTGAGCTGCAGTGATTTTGGAAAAATTAGATGTAATTAGTGTCCACATAATTCTGTTAGCCTGTATTTTACAGTTTTTTACCCCCTTCCTCTGTTGTTGAATATTACAATCTCCTGTCATCTGAGTGAGAACATTAACAACTTGCATTTTTTTATTGGTTTATATTCTGCTATTATTAAATCACAGCATGAAATAAGTTACTGTAGGTACAGTGACCCACAGAAGATAGTGCTTCAGAGGAAGATACTCCTACAGAAGGTTCTGCTCCTTTTCAGTGCAGACTGCGGTAAAAATGGATAGCAGTCTATTCTTCACATAAATGTAATTCAGCAGCTTCAGAAAGTTTCAGAAAGCACAGCATTATATCACTAACTGTTGAAGAATTCTTGAAGTTGGGGGGAATTTGGGGAAGACTTAAACTCTGAGTACATTTATCTATTACATGTCAGAAACAGAGTGGGCAAAAATCATTTCTGCATAAGCTTGTACAAATCTTTTTCTTTTCTCTCTTCCTTCCACCCCCCAAAAAAAAGACATACATTTTATTATTTATTCTGTAATCCTGCTTTGCCAGGTCTCTGTTTCTTCTTCAGACTACAAACATGAAAATATTTTGAAGTATGTGACATAGAATAACTCTCAAAGTTTGTATTTAATCATTATTTAAAATTTCATTTGATTTTCTATTTTGTTTCCTTTTTTTTTTTTTTTTTTTTCCCCATTTTTTTCACAGAAGATTGTTGATGGTTGCCATGGAAATTCTAATGGATTCCTTTCTACCGTTTTTGCAGCCTTTGAGAGGGAAACCCTTCTTTACACCATTTTAATTACAGTAGAACAAATGATGTTTCTGCTTTTCAGCACTGTAATGTGGCACCATCTTCAACTCAGTCTTTTTTTCTAA